TTGCAGAAGACCTAAGTTGTCTTTCCCAGTGCCAACATGGTGGCTTAAAACAGTGTATAACTCTAGTTCCGGGGGATCTGATGCCCCCTTCTGGCCTCTATAAGCACTACATACAACATGGTGTGTATACACGCATGCAGGCAAACACTTGTATACATGAAATGAAAATATATACATTTTCTTTTAAAGACTCTTCTAAAGAATCAAGGGTCTTGAAGAGGTGGGCTTTGCAAATAATTATTACCTGAGCAGGATGGGAATAAGGATTGGGAGGTTGGCAAAGTTAAGAAGCACCACCCCTGAGGGAAAGCTGGCGTCTGACTAACCCAGCTACCAGCCAGGCCTAGAACCAGGGCTATGAATTGGTCCACCCCAATATCCACCCCATCTAAGAACTGTTGGAGCAGGTGAGGAAGCCTGACCTGCAGATCCAAAACAGCAGGATCTCCATGACACAGGACAACAACAGGAAATCCAAGGGGAACCCCAGAGAGAGCCCTTTATTGATGATGTAGCAGAGGCCAGAGACCTCTAATCAGGCCAGTGACTCAAGGCAATAAACACTGGAGGTAAAAGGAGTCAAGGGTGAAGTGTGTGATTCACCAGGCCACACTGTAACTTCCATGATGAGATTTTCCCCACCCCCTTTTTTGCTTTGCTTTATTTGTTTGGCTTGTTTTTTGGTTTTTCTTTTAAATTTTGTTTTGTTTTGGGGGAGAGGTTGCAAGGACAGAGGGGCAGATGCAGTGGTAGGTGGACAGGAAGATGGGTGGGATTGAGACGAATGATGTGAAATCCACAGAGCATCAATAAAGCTTTTCTGTTTCTGTTGTTTTTTTTTTTGAAGCATCCCTAATAATCTAAGCATCATCTCTCTTGAGGAAAGGATGAAGAAGAGGGACCAGAGAAAGGAAAATTGAGATAACAGCATTCTCTTGCTTGTTTGAGGAACTACAATACTAAGAGGGCTGCACTGATAACTAAGACCTAAAATGAAGAAAAACTGACATTAAATTTATAGTCTGTATTAAAGAACTGGTGGCATTCATTTAGCCGTTCCTTCAGTTTCACTATGAAATATAAAAGGATGGAAAGATTATGACAAAGATGTTTAATGAAAGTTGGGATATTGCCTGTCTGATTTCCTGTCTATAGGGCAGTGAAAAACTACACATATATTCACGCATACATATGTATTCACACATACATATGCATATATTGCCTCAGGATAGCAATAAATATAACCTTACTGGATTAACTCCTCAGTTGAGAATCACTGATCGCTGTCACGTGCTGTAACGTGTAACAGTAATGGAGACAGACCCAGCTTTTGCATTGGGGACGCTTTCACATTCAGAGAAAGGCAGGCAATAAACAGGGCAGGAAAATTAGCAGAAAGTCCCATGAAGAAGAGAAATGGGATGCTGTGCTGGAATATGGGGGCAGGAGGTCGGAGAGAAGGGGAGATGCTCGATTTTCATTCTGCTTATGACAGGAAGAAATAAATGAGTCTGAGCAAGGGAGTGACATCACACTATCCATCTTTTGTAGCTTGCTATGAGATGTCACTATCTTCAGGGCAAGTCATGCCAACAAAAATGGAAGGAGAGAGGCTGGTTAGAAGGGCCAGAGATAAGAGGTGACAGTGGCTTAAATGAAAATGTGATGGAGACCTAGTCTATGTTCTGTTGCTCTAACAGAACAGTGGAGACTGGGGGATTTGTGTTTTTTTTTTTTTTTTTTTTTTTTTAGTAGCATTAATTCAGTCATGACCCAGACATTTCTTAAAGGCCCTCCAGGGCTATTCTATTGAGGACCAAACTTCATGAGTTTTGGAGAGAACAAACCACACCCAACCCATACCCAAAGGCAATAGGTAGACTTGCAATGTTTGGTCGGATGATAGTAGGCTTGTTCAGGGCAAGAGGTAGACAGAGAAAGGGGGGAAATCAAGGATGGCCTCTAGGTTTCCAGTTTGAACAACTGGATAAATGCTGGTGTCCCTTGCCAGTATCATGACAGCAAGAGGAAGAAAAAAATTGAAGAAAAATGATGCGACACAAGCAAGTGCATGTAAAAAGATGTAAACACTACACTAAGGTTTATCAGGGTACCAAGACTGGGAATTTACAAGTCTGGTTTGAGTTAGCACTAGAGGCAAAAGCTTGCCTCCCCTCCCCCTTTCCCATCTGAACCTCGGGGATAATGATATGTCTTGCTGCTTTGGAGGGACGCTGAGAAGATCCATGAGATAATACACATGAAAAGACTTTGAAGTCTTTGGAGGATAAGAAGCTGTCATTACTATGTCAGAGGGTGCTTCTATTTTTCATGTATCTGTTCAAAGCCTCACAGGTCGTAAGCATAACAGACATTCTTTCCTCCATGCTCCCTTCCCCAAAACAAGATGAGCCTGCTTCTCTTACCTCGCCGTCCCTTCCCCTCTGGATTCGCTCCATGGGACTTCCAGGCACTAACATTTCAAAATGTGGGAAGAAAGGGTCACGCCTACAGTGTTAGCTGTTAGTGATGGGGAAACTTCTGTACAGATTGCAAAGACCCCGCACATCTCACCAATGCCAATGGGCTAATCATCCCAACACACCTTTTTTTTATTTCTGCTTGATAGAAAATAGCCCAAGAAATTAAAGCCACGTGTTGAAGACTTCCTTCGACAGATTAACACTAGCTCCAGAAGTCATAGTTAAAAATCCACCAAAGTGTTCAAGGAGCACAGCTACATCGCAGATAATGTTCATGGAAGACAGGTGCTTCTTTCTTTGATCATGGCAGTTTTGGGAAACATTGTCTTTAGTGTTCTTGAAAATGAGCCTTCGAGAACTGTGGTATCCTACTTAAAGCTTTGTGTGTCCTTCTCTCCACAGCACAAACACGTGGTGGTGCTGGGAATTGGTGGTACACTCCTTGAAGTCAGCACTCAGGAGACAGGGACAGATGGTATTTTCTTTCCTCCTCCTTTTTATTTTTGAGCCAGGGTCTCTTCGTGTAGTCTTGGCTGTCCTGGAACTAACTATGCAAGCCTGGCTGGCCTCAAACTCATAGATATCCACCAGCCTCAGTCTCCTAAGTGCTGGGAATACAGTTATGTACCACCCACCACACCTGCCCAACAGGTGAGTCTTTATGAGTTCTAGGCCAGCCAGGGCTACATAATGAGATTTTGTATGAACTCAGGTCCTCTGGAGGAGCAGACAGTGCTCTCAACCTCTGAGCCATCTCTCCAGCCCTTGGTCTTCAGCTTTAATAACTACAGAATGGGTGCTTTCTGACTAGGGTTTTTTCCAGTCTGCTTGACCCTCATCTTCATAGTTTCAAAAGCAGCGCCAGCTGGGCCCAACAGTCACTTTCAGAATGCTGTGTTTGTAGATGATTCTATCTTCCCCTTGGTCTATTCCTCCCTTCTCTCCCTTGTCTCTTTCAGCTCAGTAGGCACACACACTTCTTCCCTTCTAACCGAAAAGGAAGTGGGCAATTATTTTTGGCATTCATACAGTACAGTTCTCAGCATATTAATCTCTCTAGAATGGAGCTGAGACAGGATGACATAAAGGGCTGCTGTGAGAATTGAATTAATATGTATAAGTGTTTAGCACAGTGCCTGGCTTAAAGTGAGTGATAATTGTTACTTGTTATAATTTTTCTCTTAACTTAAATGATCCCCATTTATCTCAAATGGTTTAGCTGTGGCTCTAGCAGGAGACTAACTGATAACATGAGACTCCTCTTCAAATGTCAGCTTGGTTGGTGGCCTGGCAGGAATTTCTTGCATAATTTCTCTCTCTCTCTCTCTCTCTCTCTCTCTCTCTCTCTCTCTCTCTCTCTCTCTCTCTCTCTCTCTCTCTCTCTCTCTCTCTCTCTCTCTCTCTCTCTCTTCTCTCTCTCTCTCTCTCTCTCTCTCTCTCTCTCTCTCTCTCTCTCTCTCTCTCTCTCTCTCTCTCTCTCTCTCTCTCTCTCTCTCTCTCTCTCTCTCTCTCTCTCTCTCTCTCTCTCTCTCTCTCCCCCCCCCTGTTTCTGCTCACTATTTGAAGTAACTTTTGGTAAACTAACAGTAAGTATAAATGTAGTCACGCACACTTTGGCCACATTTTAACTGGTCTCTGAAGTAAGTTTGACAAACAGCCCCCCCTCCCCACACCCACACTTCAGAGTATACAGGTGTGCGCTCGGGGCAACAAAAACAGATTACAGCGATGATGATGATGATGGCTGCCTCCAAGGCGCAGATGAAAGAGGTGCCTCCCAGCCAGCTTCAAGGCACCGGCCCACCTGGGTCAGACTTTGAATTCACCCCATTTTAGGCAGGTACAAAGAGCCTACCCAAGACGGGCTTCAATATCACACCAGTTTTTCTAGTCCCCTCCCACCCCCACCCTCCTCCCGCATGCCTTTCTCGTTTGGAATTTGGGCATCAGCAATTCTCCAAACTTGCTTGGATTTGTGTCCCGGGCTGCTGCAGATGTGGGGTGCAATGCTGGGTGGAGGAGACGGCCCCGGGCATCTACAGGGTGGCCAGCAGTTCTCACCCCAGAACTAAGGGGGTCCCACTTCTCTCCGTGTGCACAGGGAGTGTGCACGGCGAGCAAAGCGTGCCCGCCAGGGCCGCTCCCTCCCTGGCCCTGGCCATTGGGAAGAGTCGGTCTCCAGGCACCGGACAGGCGGAGCCCGAGGCCGCCAGGGCGCCCTAGTCCCAGCCTCTTCCTGGTCCCCATTGGCGCCACTCCCACCGCCCTCCTCCCGGGTAGCTCGAGTCGCTCCAGGCGCGCGTCCTCGGGGGTGAAGGCGCGGTTCCCCGAGCCTCCCTCCTTCCCTCCCTCCCGTGGCTGCTGTCCCCGAGGCCGCCGCCCGCTGCGGGGTCCCACGCGGCTCCCCGAGCGGCGGGTGGCGCTGTGGCGCGGCCCTCCAGCCCCCGGCGCCCGCTGCGCACGGCCTCCGCCTCCTCGGCCGCGTCGTGTTCCCCCGCCCTCGTCGCTGGGCGGGTGGGAGGCGGCGACGGCGGCGGCGGTGGCGTGCTGTGTGAGCGCGCGCGAGGGGGGCGGCAGAGAGGAGGCTCCCGGTGCCACCGCGGCGGCCGAGCCACACGGGCGGCGGGCACGGCGGGGTCGCATCTGCCGGCGCTGCGGGGCCGCGAACAAAGACCAGCCGCGGAGGCGCGAGGTAGGGTGCGCGGCGAGCCGGGGACGCCGGGTGCGGGGTGGTGGTCGCCGCATCCCGGTCCGGCGCGCGGGCCGGTCCCCGCGCGTCTCTCCCCCCACCCCCTCGGCTCTTGGGACCTGCCGGGAACGAGCCCCGCGGCCTCACTCGCCTCCTCCGAAGCTGCCCGGCCTCGGGGCCGCGCTCTCCCCGGACGCAGCCCTGTGCCTCCTTCCTCCGGGATGGCAGTCTCCAGGGACTGTCGCTGAGCTCATCCCCGCGGGGGTCACTGGTCTGCTTCCCGCCGCTCTCCTGTGGCGCTGACTTTCGCCAACTTAAGCTTGCATCTTTATTTTTCTTTAAGTCCTTGAAAACTTCCAACGATTGGTGCTGGGCAATTTTTTGGTACTGGAATTGACCTAAAGGGAGGCTTAGAGGAGGCAGTCGGGTGAGATTCCCCAATTCCTGGAGCGACCCGGCCGCAGCCTCAGCCCCAGCCCAGGACCATCTTCTCTGTCCCTGGTTGGCAACACCTGGCTCCGGGCGGGGTGTGTCAGCGGCCAGCGCCACGCTGAGGGATCAGGGGCTACCTGTGCCCCACCGCGGAAAGAGGGACATCCTGGCTCTCCCCAGAACCGACTAGCCGGGAACAGCTGTTAATGCAGCCTCCAAATCCTCTCACCTCCTCAAGGCTTCCCCATTTAAACACTGATTGAGGTGGCGGTTGTGGGGACAGCGAACCATCAACTGGTTCAGATACTCCTTCCTTCCTCCACCTCCTGAATGGCCCGTTTTTCAGATTTTACCCAGAGTTTTCAGGCCAGCATTCCATCGTTGAATTCTTGGTGATCATTTTGCTAGATTTTCTCAATGGGATTAGCACAAGCCGTTCAGAAATCTGTTTCAGAGTTTGTCAATCCTGCCGGGAAGGGCGGATATGTTTTAGCTATTTTCAAGCAATCCTTGGTTACATCTTTTAGAATTGCCAACCATCAGCTCTTTTTTTGGGGGGGGGGTGTTGGATAAGATTAAGATGTTCTCTTTTTCAGACAGGAAAGAAACATATACATTTAGTATTGGGATCATTTTCTGCAAGGATCACCCAAGGCAAGGCTTCTTAAACGATAACGTGGCTTAAAAATTGGGGACGTCCTAGGATTTAAAAGTATTATTTTGGATAGAGGAAACTTGCAGTCGATTTTGCTTAAGCTTCTCCAGTGATTCGAGAACTTCATTTAGGCAGCTAATATCAGACCTTTATTGCTTTCTCATAAGCCCGCTTATTCCTCGTTAGCCATTTCTGCCCAGTGAGGTTCTAGATGTCTTCAGAGATTAATTCGGAACTGTTTTAAGAAGCCTGTTTTGTTTTTAATTGTTGACTTTGGAGTTCAGAAACCGCATTCCAAAGCCAAGCTCCACCATGCAGAGGAAGCACTTTTGTGTACTTTTTGGTTCTTGGCTCCACTGTGAACTTTTCTCCCAGATAACAACACTCATTTTTCTCTTTCCTCCCTCTCTCCCCATAACTCCAGAGCAAAGTCTGCAATGGATGTTACATGAATCACTCTAAGGGCTGCGCACGACTATGAACATTTTGAAGCCTTTCTCTCAGTAAAGTAGATCACGATGGATGAGTCCGCCTTGTTAGACCTTTTGGAGTGCCCCGTGTGTCTAGAACGCCTGGACGCTTCTGCCAAGGTCTTACCTTGCCAGCACACGTTTTGCAAACGATGTTTGCTGGGGATCGTGGGTTCCCGGAATGAACTCCGGTGTCCTGAGTGCAGGACTCTTGTTGGTTCTGGCGTTGAGGAGCTCCCCAGTAACATCTTACTGGTCAGACTTCTGGATGGCATCAAGCAGAGACCTTGGAAACCTGGCCCTGGTGGGAGCAGCGGGACCAACTGCACAAATGCATTAAGGGCTCAGGGCAGCACTGTGGCTAATTGTGGCATAAAAGATCTGCAGAGCTCCCAATGTGGACAGCAGCCTCGGGTGCAAGCCTGGAGCCCCCCAGTGAGGGTGAGTAGCTTGTAGAGGCAGTTGGATGAATACGATGGTGATGACCACAGTTCTTCTTTATTCTTAGCTTGTTTTCCTAATCAGCTCATTGCTCAAAGAGGCCACACCTACCTGGGCAGATAGGAGATGAAACCTCAGGATCTCATTTTCTCTTGAAATGAGGCTGGATAAGGCAAAATAAATCTTTTTAAAAAATCATCTCTGATAGTGTCTATTGTCTGGCAGGATATGTTTTTAGGAAGCAGGTATCAAATGAAGTCTCAACAGCAGCTTTGTCATTTTTGCCTGTCTTAAAAGGAGAATTTGGTGTGGTCTCACCCTTTCGATGGCATTGGGAGAATCCTCTGTGTGTGTGTGTGTGTGTGTGTGTGTGTGTGTGTGTGTGTGTGTGTGTATACAGTAAATATGCATGTGAGTAAACCATAGGTTAGAAAGCAAACCTTAATTTTTATGCTGCTTAGAGCCATTCTGTTGGTTTTATGAATGCACAGCACAGAATATACTGGTTGGAGGAATTTTTAACAAATCATGGCCACAGGTAGCAGCTTGGTTGCTGTAGCAACAGAATGTCACAGGACTACACTGTTACATCTAGCTGTGTGTTTGGCTTTGTATCCGGTGGAATGAAATACTTCCAGCAAAATGATTTTTTTCCTTGGTTTTTGGGTAGAAATAATTTTAGGTAAAGTTAAATATTTATGCCTTTACTACAACTTCATTTTGTAAATGGAAATTCTAAATGAGTAGGAATTACGTTTCACTTAATGGTTCCCTGATAAGATGGGCTTTTGTTGTTTTTCATAAAATGAGGCATAGTCTTTGGCATCAGCTAATGAGAGTCACTCCATTTTGTTGGAAGAAGCAATTTTGGTAATTGGCCATGTTTTTGGCAATTGAATAGATTTTATAGTCTATTAAATTTTTATTGTTTTAGATTTCAGAAATTGCTATTTGTCTGAGTGTTTTGCTTGCACAGATGTGTGTGCCACACGTGTGTACCTGATGCCCACAGAGGTCAGAAGAAGACATCTATGCCCTGGAACTGGAGTTAGGGGTTGTGAGCCATCATGTGGGTGCTGGGAATTGAACCCCAGTCCTCTGCAAGAGCGGCCTTAACCACTGAGCCATCTCTCCAGCCCCAAGTCTTTTTAAGGGACAGTTAAGCTGGCTGAGATTTTTTTCACCCAGATATTTCCAGTCAGAAGGTACAGCTGATGACTTTCCATTTAATGAAGGACTGTGCACCAGGATGGCATTGCATAGCATGAACTCACGCACGTGGCTATCAGACAGCTCATCGCTGCAAATGATATAAATGATGAAAAGTATTTACATCACTAGATATGAAATATAGAGTATCTTGATCACTGGGACTCTTTGTATTACTAGAAAGCAGATTCATCATCAGTCTCCTGGGTTTCTTTTGATTCATATTTATGATATATGTTTAATGTGTATGTTAAAAATTGACCTAGGATGGCTTTCTTCTCTGTCCTTTCCTCTTCTTTCTGTAGCCTAGGCTAGCCTTGAACCCACTGTATATCCCAGATTCATGCTTGTGCCCCAGCCTACCAAGTGTGGGATTACAGGCATGAGTCACCCCACCTTTGGGAAGGCTTTAGATGTCTGGTATGGTACAAAGTTTCCTGGCCCCTTGGTTAGTACATATAGACTCATGAATTATTTTAATCTCAGAGCCAGTGATCAGGTTGATCATTTCTGAGACAGGGAGCCAGGTCTGCTTACCTTGGGTAGATTTGCATCTTTGGAGGGGTTTTGTTTCCTGTTAATGAGACCCGGAGACAGTGGCTTCTGGCTATGAATAGGAGTGTCCAGGTTGTTGCCTTACCTGTTGGGAGGAATGCAATGAATGTCTGATTGCTGATAAGGAGGAACTTAGGGAGAGGCTGAAGTCCATCCGCTTCAATTGTTCTTTCTACCTTAGACTCCACTAGGAAATACTCCAGTGGATGCTCCGGGGTCTGAGTGGCTACACTTCCAAAACCGACTTTCACTTTTCTTGGCTATTTGGAGCTTTTGATCATCTTGATATTATTTTTCTGGTTTATATGATTCCCAGTTTGTTTTTCTTTGGCGTATGACAAATGCTTTCCAAAGAAGAGCAATTGAATTTGAGCCCTATGAGTTTGTATGAGATCCTTGCGGACTTTGCAGAGAGTGGGGGCCGGGGGGGTGGGGAAACCAGACAAGTAAAAGCATTCAGACTGAATTAAAGTAAATGATGTCGTCATTGTTAAGAATAAACTCTTTCCGGGTTACTGCAGCATTTACTAGTACCCTTTGTTTTCAGGTATTCACATGTATGTATAGAATAAGCACCCGAAAGGCCAATATGTCCCCAGAACACACCACTTTTCTAAGCTAGAAATCAGTAATGGAGATTGTAATGTGCCTCTTGGATACTTCCCCAAGGTGAGCAACTATGGTGGACCCCAAACGTTCATGCTCTTTGCTTACATGCTCTGACACCACCAAGCGGTGCACTGAGCCTGTTCCTACATGTTGTGCAGAGCTGAAAGTGAGAACATGTGGAGTGTCACTCCGGCTTACTAGCGTTGTTCCTGCTTCGGTTGTGACCATGGGGCTTCCTCATGTTTCTGACCGAGGTAGACTCAGTGTTATCAGCAGACCAAACATTTCCAGTGTGTGGCACACGTCTTATTCCCAGGTTTTTAGCGTTTCCTGCTTAGTATGAAGAGGGATGGAGTCCCTCTCTGTTGGACTGGAGTCACCATGGGCCCTGCCTGTTTTTTAGTTCAAGTAAAGAATTCCTGGCGGGGTTTGACCGGAGTCAAGCAGAAGAATGAACCACGGGATACTGTTTCATTAGGTGAAAGGTAACCTATGGGCAATTGCAGCTGTCTAATCGTATAAACTTTACCTAACGAATTTGTATACACAGGGATGCTGCCGAAAAAAAAAAAACATGTTAAAGTCATTTCTATAGAATTGTAACCCACTAGGAGAAATTTTGCCTTCTGTAGTTCATTTGGGTTTGTTTATTGTTGTTGCTGTTGTTATATTACTATTTTTTAAAGATGATCTTGCAGTGTAGCTCAGGCTAACCATGAACTTAAGCCGAAGCTTTCTGGTGCTAGGCAAATGATGATGATGGGGAAGCCAGATGTAGACTCTGTTCATGAACTTCAGAGTGTGTGGTCATCAGCCTCATGGGAGAGATTAACAGCATTACAGCAGTGAGGGAGTCTAATAAACACGGCAAGCTCTATGCCCGAGAGCTCACAAGAGGGCATAGGAGAAGGGCCTTGAGCTCGGAGTGTAAGGACATATGTGAGGAAACACTATATGTGAGGTCTTCAAACGCTTCCTCAAGGAAGGTGTTTGAACTGACATCTTAACATGAAGTGATAGTAGTGTGAGGGGGGGCTGGGCACGGGTGGAGTTTCCAAAAACATTGGCTTAGAGGAAGATGGGGCTTGTCTCCTAGGAGAACTGACAGAAGGTGACTGGGAACTATGCAAGCTGCAGGGACAGTGACCTAAGACTAGGCTTCCAATGTGAGAGCCTACCAGAGCCACAGGTGGATACAGTTGGATGGATGGATGGATGGATGGATGGATGGTACCCACAGGTGGATACAGTTGGATGGATGGATGGATGGATGGATGGATGGATGGATGGTACCCACAGGTGGATATAGTTGGATGGATGGATGGATAGATGGTACCCATAGCGGTGCTCTGGATTTGGCATTGAAGAGATGAATCACTGGAGTAGCAGTAACCAGTAAGGATTTAGAACAGGTAGAGGACTAGAGGCCGAAATCAGGAAGTGAGGCTGGTTCAGGCCGTCTAGATCTGGGGTCAGAGGTTACATTGCCTTCCTGCTGGAAAATGCTAGGTATGCTTTGATTTCTTCGGAGCGGCAGTTGTATTTCTTCCTCTCCTTTTCCAGGGTGTTTGTACAGTCTGGGGCGTCGTGTCACTCTAAGTTCCTCTTGTGGAAGTGCTGGCTTCTGGTACCTCAGAATGTGGCTCTGTGTGGGGAGATGCTGGCTTCGAGTACCTCAGAATGTGGCTCTGTGTGGGGAGATGCTGGCTTCTGGTACCTCAGAATGTGGCTCTCTGTGGGGAAGTACTGACCTCGAGTACCTCAGAACATGGCTCTGTGTGGGGACAGGACCTTTCAAGTGGTGGTGAAGGTGGGTAAAATGAGGCCACATGTGTGGCTGTGAATCTAGTGTGACTGGTGTCTTTCACGGAAGAGACCATGACATGTAAAGAGGAAAGACTGTGAAGACACACAGAGAAGGCAGGTGACCTTGAGCTAAGCGGAGAAGCATGAGAAGAAACAGTCTTCCTGAACCTTAGGCTTGTTCCACTGAAGCTGTCTGGTCTGCGGTATATTATGGCAGTAGCCGCTTCTAAAGTCAGCCCCTTGAGTGACTGACAGTCACTCTGCTGTCTTTGTCCAGGATTGTCTGACTTGTCAATGCTCACAGAAACTTGCCACGGCCCGTCCAGTCCATTTATGTCTTCTTTATTTATGCCATGAAAAGTTATTTAGGCCCTCTCTACCCCTTCAACGGGCCAAATTGCCGGTTATAATTTCATAAGCTAGGCCAGGAATTTCATGAGAAGATTGGTGATTATGTGACAGTAGGTGAAGGAAGAAAACATCAGGTAGGGAGAAGGACTCTCTCCTGCCTCCCATCCTCTGCCTTCCTCTTTGACTTGAGTTTGGGGAGGCTGGTGGCTGGATGCACTGTTGTCTGTGGCATCACATAACAAAGCCAGTAGGAAGTGAGTTGAAAGAAGGGTCTGGGAAGCTCCAGGTAGAGGCGGGAGGTGTTGAGGTTGCCCCTAGACAGTGTTTGTCCTCCCAGGACCCAGCAGGTGTCTGTGGAGAGCTTTCTAATTCAGTTCTGTGCTGTGATCTCTACTGTGCTAGGACAAAGGCGACATCCATGCCTTTACTTGTTGAAAACATTTCCACGGGGAGGTGGTGGCTAGCAGGGG